CACCCCCCACCCCCCCCTGCAAAGCTGTTTAAATCAAGACCAAATAGCGATCTAGCTGCATGTAACAGTGAAGATGAGATGCAGGGTGCCTGAATGATTTGTTATAGGTCTTCTTAAAAAGTCAATAACAATAAAATTGACTAAATAGTAAAATAGTCAATGTGTTGTAATTCTTTACAACATCCTTTGCAAGTGGAAAATTGGGTGGGTGCTCCATCTTAAAGGGTTAAATACAAATCAGGAAGGAATTTGGAGCTGTTGCACAAAGATAGATTTGTGGGAACCTGCTGTCCTTTGGTGAAAATATGACGCATGAGATTAGTTAATGCAGTTAATCTTAAAGGGGCTTGTTTTTGTGGGGGGAAAAAACAAGTTTATTTATCTGTAGAGGTGGATCATGAATACAGCATATATGATCAAATATAAATTTATTTAATAAAGATATCAATATATGTTAGTGTAAATATTAGTATATAAAAATATATTAAATATGATAAAAACACACAATAAATGCAAGTACAATGTCTGGAAAAACTGAATATATTATGTTTCCTCATGTAAATCGATAATAAATTTATAATCGTTTCTTGTTTATCTACTTTCCATCAACATTCATTTTGGTCCATTTTCTATTGTATGGCTTCAGAAGACTTGTATGGACTACTTTTATGGTACTTTTAAGGTTCTTTGTGCACTTTGAAGCTTGAAAGCTTCAGTCGTCATTCATTGAAATTGCAGGGAAAAGAGCAACCAGTTCAATTCTTTAGAATTTTTTCCCTTTTGTGTTCTACAGGGGGAAAACGAGAACAAAACGAGAGTAACTGATGATAGAATTTTCATTTTTTTGTGAACTAATCCTTTATGAGTATGTATGAGAAAGAGAGGGACTGTTTAACAGCCATCTTGAACCAAGCCTTTAAAACCATCTTACTGCTTAATTTTCTAATATAAAGAGCTTATTAGGATAATTATGCTACATCAAAAAGTAGTTTTGGTTCTGATTGTCCAACTGTAATATAGGAATGGCATTTTAATAACAGCAGTTCATGGTAAATTTACCAGCACTGTTGTCAGCTTGATGTTTTTAGGAGAACCAGAGGCTGTAATCTCCGTGTATACAGCGCCATCAAGTGGCCGTATTTAAAACACATTGTGCTCTTGAAGCAAAGGCACTGGGCACAGTTTGTAAGAGGTGTTAATAGATCTCAGCTGCACGGTAAAGCTATTTATTTGGTTTTGCACGGTCTTGTTAAGTTGGACAACATCATGGCCATTGCAGGAGGAATAAAGTTCAATTAAGGTCAGTGTTACTGCTCGCACAGGTCTTGCCAAAGAGACAATCTCTTGAGTGACAATGAGACCGTAAAAGATGGAGCCACTTGGCCAGAGGTAGGAAAGAAAGAAAGAAAGAACACGGTGTATGTTCTCTGGCAATTTTGATAAAAGAACATTTTTAGAGGAACATATTTAAAATAATACTAAACAATAGCAAAAAAATAAGTTTAAATAACTACAGGATGTTAAATTTAAAAAAAAATGAGAGAGATAAAAGAAGATTCTGACGCACAGTTCATATATTTTCAGTTTTGTGTTTGTGGGAACATCAAATGTTGCATCCAAAGTTATAAAACAAATGGTTCAGTGCATATTGCAGGAGAATGACTCGACACCTGAATGTGTGAAAGGAGGCAGTTCACAGACAGCTGACAAAGCACTTTTACTTTATATGAAGTGCCGTTCAAGTCACCAGACAACTGTCTTTATTTGCATATCTACATTGCATATTGAAAGTGATATTTTCAATTTGTTTACAATATTTATGAGTATAAATTAAAAACAACCATTATGTACAAAAGAATACATCTATTTAATATTCATAAAACAACTATATTTACAGTATAAATAGTTTGTCAAAAACATCATACAGCATTGAAATGCACACAGTGATGTCATAATATATGACAAAATATCTATTGTACATAAAGTCTTCTGTCTTTTCTCTGTACAGCACGCCAGTATATATCATTGACTGACTCTGTCGTCGTGTCTTTGGAGCTCAGGTAGCCAAGGATGGAGTTTCCAGCCCAGAGACTGACCCCTACTAGACCCAAACAGAGATGTGGGGTTTTCCATGCCGATGTGGTGAGCTGGGTGTGGATCATGAAGATGACAACCGCCGAAGTTCCCTAAATGGGTACAGATTCATACATGCTTAACCCTCCTGATGTGCTGAGGTTTATTTGTCCCACGCTCGATTTTCAAAATGCTTGAAATATTGGTTAAACTATTAATTTCCTCTTGAAATTTTGTGAATACTTTTCATTTAGGGTCATGAATGTGCATGCAAAGTTGTAACAAATATAAGTGTTTTGGAAAGGCTGTACAAATGTTACAACTTTTGAGCCCCATTGGTTTCATGCAATTTGCCAAAAATAAACACTAAAGAGTCGGGGGGGGACAGAAAACCTTTATTGTAGCTTATCAAACACTAAAATATAAAATACAATACATAAAATACATTGTGCAAACAGTCACTACATGTAATCATGACCAATAAATAAATTATATATGCAATATATACCGTATAATAAATGTATACCCCTAACACAATAGAAATAACACCATAAAAATAGAAGAGACTTATTACATTTGTCACATATTTTATATTTTTTAGTCTCTGACAAGCAACAATAGAGGCTTGTGTTTTTAGGTGACTCTTTAGTATTTTTCATAGTGCTGATTTTTGGTAATTGAATGGAAGCCAATGTAAGTAATTTTGACCCCCAACACAAAAGTTGTACCCAGTTTTTGAACACAAAAGGATTGTTAATCATATGTAATCATGTTGGAGCAAAATCAGTGTTAAAAAGTTGTAATATGTTGTAATATGACATACCACAGCCCGGCTGCTGAAGACAGATACCTCATTGGTTCCCATTTGTTTCTGAGTGGTAAAAGAAACAAAGCTGTCTCCAACCATCATGGCTCCAAATGCCCGAGTGAGATAAAGATGATCCTCAGATCCATTAATCTACAATGGATGAATACACAATGCATTAATGGACAATGCCACCTAGAAGCATTTTAGCTAACAACATGACCACTTTTGCTATACTTGATAGTCCAAGTGTTCACAACAGTTGCAATTAAGTTACGTTTTTACCTGTGACCCAAGAAGCCATCCTGGAAAAACCAACCACATGAGGCCACAAATGAAGTTTGCAAAAAAATCCATTTGAAGGAAAAACCTCTGGGGCTTAGTGAGCAGTTCAGATTGTTTCAAAGAGCCTTTCAACTGATTGTGATCCAAGATCAAAAGAATCAAACTGCTTAGAAGAAAGAATAAGAACACCGCCACATCCACCATGGGAAGCTGGAGAGAAAAAGTCAAGATTTATGGATTTAACTGGCATGTAACAAACATTTGATGTTTTATGGCATTACAACAGAGAGCACTGCATTTTACATTTATGTTTAGATGATTACTATACCAAAGTGACTTAATATAATAAAATGCACACATCATGTTACAGTACACACATGTCTGCAGTCTGTTCCTTGAACGTGTGCCTCTCTGCAGACTCCCAACAGTGAAAGGAAGGCCTGTATAGAAAGACATTTAAAACAGTTAATTTAATTTATATTTCAAAATGTTGATAAAAGGTCACAATAAATATTAAATTGATGCAATAATGCAACACTTAAATATGTACACTTCAAAAGGTTGGGGGTCAGTTTTGTAATGTTTTTAAAAGAAGTCTCTTATGCTCACGAAGGCTGCATTTATTTGATCAAAACTGTAATATTGTGAAATATTATTGCATTTAAAATAACTGTTTACTGTTATAATATATTTTAAAATGTAATTTATTCCTGCCATGCAAAGCTGAATTTTCAGCAGTCATTACTCCATTAAGCTTCAGCGTCACATGATCCTTCAGAAATCACTTTTGATTAATTTAATGCATCCTTGATAAATAAAAGTATTAATTAAAATTTTATTTAAAAAAAAATACACCTTACTAACCCCAGACTTATTGAGTAACTGTAAGGACTCAGAGTAACTTCCCAACTTTAAAAATACATTTGTTGGTGTAATATAGTGAAGTTAACTGAGCCATATTAAATAATATTTTAATTCGAATAAAACCAGTTTATTTACCATGTGTAGTACATTTTAGATCACCTGACAAACGGGATGAACTATTAGATTACCTACTGTATTTCTCCTAAAGTTTCAAGAGAATATATGCAGGCATATGTGTGTATTTGCATTGCACTTACAACAAGCCTCGAGACGGAATGAGCAGACCGAGAAAGTGGATGGTTGTTGCTTTTGAAGAAAATTAACTTAATATTACTGGCAACCCACACACATACGAGTGAGCGCGTTACTTCAAACTGCGCGCTTTCGTCACTGACGCTTCCCCCCTGCAACACAAGAGAGTATAACGCGTTACAAAAGTATTCTCACAGTAACAATAATTTCCGCCAAGATGCCCAATAATTACTACGGTTATGGCTACTACAAAAAAATAATAAACATTATAATAACATAAACATTATGAACAACTTCTTAGCAGCTCCGTCTCATTTAGACTGAACGCGTCGCGTTTTTACAACGCGTGTTAAGTAACGCGTCTCGAGACCCATGCGTTCTGTTCCATTCAGACCCCAAGTATTAGGCTATGTGAAGTTGTGAACTTCCCCTAACGACTTTCACTATTCATTTTTTCCAGTTTAAAAGCTATAGTATGGTATTTTATCTGATACTATAGTAGTACCATGGTATTTTTCGTAAAGGAAACAGTGTGTCATTTAGCATTCATTTTCACACAAAACTATTTTTTTTCCTTTCGCTTATTAACATTTACAAACAACAACATTATATAATCCCATGATTTTACACACGTAAAGACCCACCTCTGAGGAAAAAGCCAAACTGGAACACATCCTATACGCCATGCTGAGTAGTAGTCCAGCCACAAGTTCGGCTGAAATGACTTGACTTCCAATTACTTTCTCCCTGTTCGTTTTCATGGTTGGTTCACAGTCCGAGTTGGCGGTTAAATCAATGTTTTCAGTGCGGCAAGGAACTGCATTTGTAGCCCGCTGGCTTCTAAAGCCCTCATACGTAACGTGCCCTTACACAACCTAATTATGAAACTCACTGGAGGGGTTCCTCAGTTCTCTTGAGTAACCCGGTGCTGATGGCGACTTCATGTTCTTCTGGCTGCAGCCACTTTCTACAGAGTTACGTAAAAATCAACGGGAATAAAAACGTTCACATGGGATGCAATCCGTTCGTGAAGCCAGGACATCAGCAGACACCGGAATAGTGATTTTCATGAGGTTTTAAACGTGTAGTGCTTTTAAAATATACTGTTAGACTGTTAAATCATAATTTATTTGAAATCAACATTTATTTTATTAATATTCACAACGTAAGTTTCACAATTAATTAAAATGTTTCCTCACACTGCATGGAAAAACAACCGTTTTATTTATAAATAAAACATTAACATTCACTCATGAATAAATAAATTATATATAACCCTGTTAATATACATATTTATGAAATGTTTGGTCTTCCAGATTGTGTAATGTAAGAAATAACATCCTTAGCCTATATAGCGCATTTATAATGTCAGTCTTATGCACCTAGTTATATATTAACATTTTTGGGAACCCTTCACTAAATGGAAACCAATAAATCAGCTTAAAGCCAAACATTTATCACATGATTTTTCCTTAAAGGCTTTTTGTGCATGCAAGCAACTTAACTATTGGATCAGAGCCATTGAGAATTGGGTTACATGATGAGATATTGAGGTCAAATGGACTTTTTTATTATTTCCCAATAAATAATAGTTAATAACATATATTTCTTTTTTAAACTGTAATTAAATTTAATTTAAAAAGTAACAATATATTAATAATATTATATTGGCTATGCCTAAATCTGCAATTCATTGGTGTAAGGAAATCAGTTCAGTGGCAAATAAGAATTATGTTTGTCTAATGCACTGCATACCAACTAGGTGTTTTGACAATTTTTCAGCATGTACAAATATGTAACACAGGTGCATAACACTGGTTTAGTGTTGATTGACAGGAAGCACTGTGCGTCATACAGTATGAAAGCAGAAAGAGGAATCTTATCAAAGCTGTCAATGAAACGAAACATTGTTCTCTTTCAAACTGCAAAGTTTTGTTTGAGAAATATGCTTACTGATAAGAAAGCATATGCAATTAATTGAAAAGGAGGTTGGAGAATTATTTAATTGTTTGAAAAAAAAATAACAGTAAATATAAATAAGAAACAGATAATTATTTTAGTGCATAGCTATAACATTAAGTACAGTGATAAACAATTAATGATCAAAATTTGATCAAGATTTCTATGTAGGTATCAGCACATGACAATGGCCAGAATTTATTTTGGTGAAGTCTTGCTCAATTCTAGCCGTGGTCCACACCCATAGGAACTTCTCCGTATCATTGTACTTTTGTTCCTGGACAATATTGTGAAATATTGGTTTAGTTTGGTCATGGTCACACTGATGAAAACAATTGCGGAACAATGAAAGAGAAGTGAAGTGCCCAGTCACATGTTCATATAACTGAGAGAATGATAGAGACCTTATATATTCAGTATATAAATACACACATTTATTGATATGCTTTACATGAGTGTGCACTCATATACAGTACAACCTTATGTAATGAATCAGCTCATGGGAAATATGAATAATTAATCATAACTAGTTATAATTAATTATGAATATTTTAGATCCGCTGTAATAAATGTACATTGGACAGATTTGACATATTAATGTATTTACATCAGAGTAACATTCATAAAGCCATTACGTAGCTCATATATCTAAATATACATAAAGACAGTGCAATATATAAATGTGTATTATTTGGCGCCACCCAGTCATTTTATCTCATCACATTCAACTCAGACAGCAGACTCACAACTTGAGTAAAACATAATTTCTTTTGTTGTGGCTCTGTAGATTAAATAGTGCCACAGCATTGTCCAAAATGGACATTTCAAGAATCAAGAATGGTGAAGGTTCGGCCAGTCCTGAAAAAGTTCTCAATCTCCTCCAGAGTCCGGCCTTTAGTCTCTGGCACACATTTAGCAGTGAAAATTATATTCACTACAGAGACGACACAGAAGAACAGGAAAGGTGCAAAGAGTCCATAGGCATCCTATATGAAAAGATCAAGTTTGTGTTTTATAGCTATACTTATGAAAAGCTCACACAACTATGTATATGAAAAATACTAGAAATGGAAACAATCAGAAAGAAAAAAATCAGAAGAAACAATCATGTATAACATGAGTATTATCAAGAGAAGCTTGTATTAGCTTTTAATGATCTTGAACAAGGATCATGTGCTATTAGGTAAGTTAAAATAGGTATTTTTCCAATTCCTGTTTCTATGTGTGTAAAAAAGAGATTTAGCTCACCACCACATGCATGAAGAGTTGTGTCAGAACAAAGGCTGTGATCCAGCTAACACCAACGCACAAACCAGATGCTACACCACGTGCACCCAAAGGTAAAATCTCTGACATTAGCAGCCATGTGATTGGACCCCAACCCATAGCATAACCTGCATGGGAGATTTCAGTGACGTTATGCTGCATGTTATTTTTACATGAGGAAATAAAACTAGAACTAGTTCTAAAAGTGATGTAATCCAGTCCTGTTTCCAAAATGATTGTTTCTCTAATTAAAAAAAAAAAAAGTGTGACTTTATCATCCCTAACTATAGTGTCGTAATAATCAACAGGTTCCTTATCTGTCATTTATGAGATCCACAAAAAGCTTGTACTGTACAGTAAGTTAAAGTGAACTGGTCACACTGTTTAATGAACAAACTTCCTGAAACTAAAAAAACTCACCAAATATGATGACCATAGAGCTTATTAGAGGAATTAGAGTTACTGGATCAAAGGCAGGGCCTGCTAAGCCTCCATAAGTGCTCTTCAAGCCCTCAGTTACAGTAAGATTGCCATGGTTGCACGGTGTTTTATGAGTGTACATGGTCATTGAAAGCATGGCTAGATACATCAAAAAGCCTGAAGGAATAAAAGATGACTGTGTTTTAGGTACTTTTTCCAAGGAATTACATTTACCAAATGTAATACTTTTATTGTTAATTCTACACAAACCTGAGGTGAACAGTAGAGCTTTTCGACCTGCTTTGTCCATCAAACTGGCTGCAATAGCAACAGAAATCAATCTTACAGCTCCCACTAATGCTGCGTCATATTTTGGTTCCTGAATGGCAATAAAACATCAAATTTTTTAGATGGATAAATGTGCTTTCAGGTATTTCACAGTGTGAATGAATGAATCTTTGAGACCTACCAGTGATATAGCTGTCATGTGGAAGATGGGCTCCAGATATACCAGAATTGGGGTTATACCAGTCATCTGCTGCAGGAATCTCATGACAACTGATATTAGAATTGGTTTATAGTATAAAGGTGTTTTAAGATCACACCATTGAACGCCCTGTTGGAGAGAACATGCAAGTCACTTAATATTCTATTTTTATATAATGCATATTTACATTTTTGTTTTATTTCAAGCAATAATTGGCAGCCCCTGCAATACTGCAGCAAACGACTAACATCTTTGAAGGTTGTAAGTCATGCTATGTTAATATGCAACAACACCACCCTGATAACATGATGTAATCCACCACAATGTGCCTTTTACCTGAGAACTGATACTGCGCTCAATCTTATTGAACTCGGTCAAGTAATCAGAATTGGGGCCTCTGAGCCATTCTAGTGATTTAACTGCTCTTGCTCTGTTTCCTTTCATGATGTGGTAACGTGGGGAGGTCGGCATGAAGCAAAGAAAAATCATCATGATAACGACAGGGATCTCCCCAGCCACAGCCAGCCACCTCCACGGCAAAACCAAGCCTGGAGAGAGAAGATAAAATAGCATAATTTTAAAGGACATATAGGATAATGTATCTGAAAAATGCTTGGAAATTCTTGAAAGTGTTGGCGAAAGTGTGTTTCATCATACACCCAAAACAACCCGAGAAATATGAGCTCTCTCACCAAAAGCATAAAGTGCTAGACTTCCAAAGACAGCTGTGATCTGAGGACACGAACCCAGCGCACCCCTCACAGACGGGTGTGAAATCTCTGACACATACACCTGTGTGAAAAGATATCAGCTGATGTTAATGAGATCCATTAGGCACAAAACTGCAACCACTAATGTATTATGACGTTTCTTTAATTAAAATCCCATATGTTACAATGAAATGGTATGAAGGTCGATTTTAAATTGTCTTTTTTTATGTCAATATGTTCTTTAAATGTAATAGGGAAAGTTGCATCAGCAAAAGTTTGTAAAACTTGTAAAACTTCCTCCTGATCTCCATGATAAATAGCTTGAATACATATGCTCCCAAACACTAGAATATGAAAATAACTATTACTGTACCAGATATTTGTGTTTTAAACAAACTCAATTTCTCAGAAAACAAAACTTCATTTCTTCATTTTGAATCTCAAGTCAATGTAACTTAATTTAAGGACGTTTAGATATTTATATTGGAAAGCAAGAGAAAAATACTGAGGAAGAGATTAATTTTAAGCAATGCATGCAACATTTAATGCCATGCCTTTATGAATTTAAGACTTTCTGCTCTGATTTAAGACCTTTTTAAAACCTGCATAAATAACTCACAAATTTAAGTCTCTGGGAGTCGACTGATTCATTCAGTACTCATTTGTTCGTAAATGAATAGTTCCACTGTTTTTGTTTTTGCATGCAGCCAACAGACATGCTTATTGACAATATTTATTATCATTATTACATGCCATCCAGCATTTTATCTCATAAGATTTAAATCAGACTGCAAACTCACTAAAAAAAATTTTTTTTTAAAGTGGCACTGTAGAATTAATATTGCTATCTCTATAAACAAGATGGACTAACAGAAAACTTACAGGAATCGATCCAGCAGTGATACCACCAGCGATGCCAGTCAGAAATCGGCCCCATAATAACATCCAAAAGTTTTGTGCGGCCCCCATCACAAGGAGACCTACAGTAGATGGTACTCCTGACAACATGATGGTTATTTTTCTCCCAACTCT